AAAAAAATTTGTTGTTATTTCAACAATGTTCACAGTATCTTTACCAGGAGTAGACTCCATCTGAAGAAATTACTTTCTTTGCTTATCCATAGGAAGCAGTTACTCATCTGTTGAAGTTTTATCAGGAGATTGCAGTAATCAGTCACATCTTTAGGCTCCACCTCTAGTTTTCTTGCTATTTTCCACTACGTCTGCAGTTACTTCCTCCACTTAAGTCTTGAACCTCTCAGTGTCATCCATGAGGGCTGGAATCAGCCTCTTCCAAACTCCTGCTGATGTTTATATTTTGACCTCTTCCCGTGAATCACAAATGTATTTAGAGGTATCTAGAATGGTGAATGAATCCTTTCCAGAAAGTTTGCAATTTACTTTGCCTAGCTCCATCAGAGGAATCACTATCTATGGCAGCTATAGCCCTATGAAGTTTATTTCTTAAATAACAAGACTTGAAAGTCAGAATTACTCCTTGATCTGCAGGCTGCATAATGGATATTGTGTTAGCAGGCGTGGAAACATTAATCTCCTTGTTTACCTCTATCAGAGCTCTTGGATGATCAGAAGCATTGTCAATGTCCAGTAATATTTTGAGAGGAATCATTTTTTCTGAGCAATGGATCTCAGTAAGGGGCTTATAATATTCAGTAAACCATGCTGCAGAGCTGCTATGGTTCAGGCTTTGTTTTTCCGTTAATAGAACACAGGCAGAGTAGATTTAGCATAATTCTTAAGGGCTCTAGCATTTTTGAAATGGTAAATGAACACTGGCTTCAACTTAAAGTCACCAGCTGCATTAGCCTGTCCTTTGAAGCTTTGAAATCAGGCGTTGACTTCTCCTCTCTAGCTGTGAAAGTTCTCAGTGGGATCTTCTTCCAATAGGAGGCTATTTGATCTACATTGAAAATCTGTTACTTAGTGTAGCCATCTTCATCAGTGATCTTAGATCTTCTGGGTAACTTGCTGCAGCATCTAGATAACCTCAGCATCTGCTGCTTCACCTTGCATTTTTATTGCTGGAGATGGCTTCTGCCTTAAACATCATGAGCCAGTTTCTGGTAGCTTCAGCATTTTCTTTTGCAGTTTCACCTCCCTCAGCTTTAATAAAATTGAAGAGAGTTAGGGTCTTGATCTGGACTAGGCTTTGGCTTAAGGAATGTTTGCCTGGTTTGAGCTTCTATCTAGACAATTAAACTTTCTCTATATTAGCAATAATGCTATTTTGCCTTCTTATCGTATGTGTGTTCAGTGGAGTAACACTCTTAGTTTTCTTCAATAACTTTTTCTTTGTATTTACAACTTGTCTAACTGGTGCAAGAGGCTTAGCTTTCAGCCTGTCTTGGCTTTTGACATACCACAGTCACTAAGCTTAAACTTGAGAGACATACAACTTTGCCTTTCACTTGAACACTTAGAGGCCATTGTAGGTTAATTAATTGGCCTAATTGCAATAGTTGTTCTCTCCAGAATGGGGAAGCCTCAGGAGAGGGAGAGAGACAGAGGAAGACAGAGACTGCCAGTCAGAACACACCTAACATTTATCAATGAAGTACTTAATGTGGGCACAGTTTGTGGCGCCCCCAAACGATTACAGTAGTAACATCAAAGATCGCTGATCACAGATCACTATAGCAGGTAAAATAATATTGAAAAGGGTTTAGATGTTGAGAATTACCAAAATATGACAGAGAGACATGAATTTCCAGCACGTGTGATTGGAAAAATGGGCCAAGAGGCTGACATGATGTAGGGTTGCCCCAGACATTCAAGTTGGAAAAACCTCAGTATCTGCAAAGCACCGTAAAGCAAAGTGCAATAAAATAAGTCATGCCTGTAATTGATCATTTACCTGCTTCTCTTTGGACTTAGCTTAAAAAAAACAAACAAACAAACAAAAAAAAAAAAGCAAAAAGCTATTATCTGCAAGTTCCTTTTAAGTGAGAATTAATTTATACCTTATTTATTTAAATATATAGGTTAATGGAATAGAGCTTAAACTCCGAAGTCAGGCAAACCTGTATTCCAGTGTGGGTGCCTTGTTCTGGTGGCTGTATGACTTTGGACACGTTATTTAGCCACTCTGAGCTTCACTTTCCTCATCTGTGAAACAGAACCAATGATTACTGTGAGGAGTAAATCTGTAAAACTACAGAAAGAACATGGCATGATAGCTAGTCATTATGAACATGGAAAGTTACTGAGGGTCATTCATCTGTTATTACCATTATCCAGAGTGATGCAGATTGGAAATTTTTGCGTTTAATCTCTTTTTTAGCATATATCATAGAGTATTGAAGTAACCTATTTATTTGTGTCTTTTTCTCTAGACTGGGTGTTCTCTGAGGACAGAGACTGTCTCATTGACTCTTGTATTTCTAGTGTTCAGCACAGTGCCTTTCAGAAGGTAGACATTCAGTAAAGATTAGTGAAATAATTGAAGAGGTTTTTAAACCTGTGTTCTTTTTTTTTTTCGCTAAAATTAAACTTTATACTTGCATTTAGTGTGACTTGAAATTCAGAAGAATTAAAATGTGATATCTGAAAACAAACTAATGTTTTGTGAAAAAGCATTGTTTAATTTTCAAAGTGCTTATTAGGTAGCTTGAAAGATTATGATACACAGCCCATGGGGTTCCATTCTACCTGGCTCTATAAATTGCCCCGAAACAACTTGAGCTTGGATGTCAGTTAGAATACTGACTAGATATATAACTTTAGTTTCTTCAATTCTGAAATTATGAGGATTGGATTATAATAGACTTTAAAGATATCTGTCTTTAATTTTTACTTTACTAATAATTCTTAATAGTTGAGTGCTTACTGCATGCTAGATAACCCACTCAACACTTTTTATGTATTATCTCTTAATCCTGAGAAATCTTAAGTGGCTACTGTGTTTATTATGGTCACTTTACCGATGAGAACAAGCACAGGAACTCAGTACAGAAAATTTCACCAGTGCATTTATTGAGTAGAAAAGCACCTGAATGCTTGTCATCGTGGTCAGTGAGAGAGAGGTAAATGCAGATTCACCTCCTACTTCTAAACTTGGATTGTTGCAACAGTGAAGGCTTAAACAGCAGGAGGCTGCCCAAATGTTATATTGTACTCCAAAGTTGGCCAGACATATCATCTGAATGGTAATGCCAGGAGAGGAGGGGGCACCTTAAGGTGATATGAGGCCCCGTAGCACTGTTTGAGAAGATGCTCAGCTTCTAAAGTTGTGATAATATCCTCATGTTTCAAGAAATTTAACATAGCAAAGGAACACTTTCCCCCCCCCAGATTCCTCAAAAATGTGTTTTCCATGTTTAAGTACCTGTATTGAGTTCTGCTCTCAATCTGAAGCCCTAAAGGTCTTCTAGCAGTCCTCGTCAGCCTTTTCCTGTGAAGTCAGAAGTCAGCCAGTGAATTGCTAGTGTTGGTGATAAATAAGAAGTAGATCATTAATTTGAAAAGTGTGTGATTTGTTTTTTTAAAAAAGCTTTCTTCTATTTCCTTTTATATTCATTTAGGTTTTTCTACTTCCTCTGATTATAAGAGTACTCTAGGCCAACATTATTTTCTCATTTTGTGTGTGTGTGTATCAAACAGATAGACTGGCCTATTCTGTACAGCACGTCAAATAAGTTTTTCCTATGGGCCCGCCTTGGTGTCTATTACTGATTTATAATATTCCTATGGAAAAACGTGTTCAAAATTTTGTGTAACTTTTCCACATTGGGGATACCTGTTATTCCATAAGGATTAAGTTTGAAAGTTATTTTAATCATAGGTTAACACCCTTATTAATACTTTAAAATTAAAGTAGATTTAGAGGTTCAAGAAAAAAATAAAATACTTTAAATTGTGTCTGAAGATTTGAAAATTTTATTTTATTATTTATTTATTTATTTATTTGAGATGGAGTCTTGCTCTGTCACCAGGCTGGAGTGTAGTGGCACAATCTCAGCTCACTGTAACCTCCATCTCCCAGGTTCAAGTGATTCCCCTGCCTCAGCCTCATGAGTAACTGGAACTACAGGCACGTGCCACCACACCCAGCTAATTTTTTTTTGTATTTCATAGAGACAGGGTTTCACCATGTTGGCCAGGATGGTCTTGATCTCCTGACCTCGTGATCCTCCTGCCTCGGCCTCCCAAAGTGCTAGGATTACAGGCGTGAGCCACTGTGCCCAGCCTGAAAATTTTATTTTAAATTGTTCATGCCACCAAAGGGGAAAGAAATGAGAGAGTGTGTGTGCATGCGTAGACATGCATAAATTAGGGATCATTCTGATTGATTTTAATCACAGGCATCCTAATCATGTTTTGTCTGAATTTTGTGGAATGAGTAGATAAATTGTCTCATTTAATGGTAGATTTCAAGAATATTGGAATATTAGAAAACACTGTGTCATGTTAGCCAGAATGTTTGTAGATAACATTGCAGCAAATTAATGAATGATTAGATTTATGTAAGGAAGTTTATTTGACTTGAGCCATCATGTATTGAGAATAAATGGATTTGAATATACTTTTTTTTTTTTGTAAATTCGAATACTTATCACTTTTTATTGTTTTGTCAGTCGTATTGTTAAAAAGGTAAAGGCAGAGTACAAAGTTGATATTGGAGAAACTAGTTTGGGAAAACAACTGATGTTCTGACAGGATGATTCTGAAATTCATATTAATTACTTTTTAAAATAATTGTGCCTTGAGTTATGAAGAAAGCTATCATCCGTGAGCCACGTAATGCCACACAGCCTCCACGTAGCCAGGAGCATGGAGTGCTGGGAACTTGGCATGACTTTAGGCCTTGTTTACATTTCTCTCACTCTCTGGAGCCTGTGGTATGGGACCCCCTCTTCAGGGTGTCCACAGGAGTTTAGGCCTCAGAGGTTTCATTCCTTATTTTTTTTCTGGGAGTATTCAGTGTTATACTAAGTATTTTTTAGTGTAATTCACTTCAGTTTGATGTTTGTGACTGGGCATCCCTCTTCTAATAGTGCTCTTACTTTTTATAGGTATGCCTTACATTTTCTTGTACAAAGTGGAATTTCCTACTGTATCATGATCATCATAGGAGTAGAGAACATGCACAAGTAAGTATTCACTTTTTTCACATGCAAGTACATATTTCACTTGAATAGAATTTCATTAGAATACAATTTTATTTATTACATTAAAAGTAATTCTGAATTATAACATTTTAAAGAAGAATTGTCATAAATACAAAAATAAAGTCATTGTTATACATCATTCTTCTTTTTACTTAAAGCACCATTGACATTTTGGGATGGATGAGTCTTTGACGTTCAGGACTAACCTGTACATTTTAGGATATTAAGTAGCATTCCTGTCTTTTACCCGCTAGATGCCAGTAGCACCCCTTGAGCTGTGACAACCATAAATGTTTCCAGATATTTTCAGCTATCTGTTGGAGGAGCGAAACTGCCTATCGTTAAGAACCTCTGGTTTAGTCTGTTGGTGATAGCAGTGGAGAGACAGAAGTGGGTAGGTTGGTGAGAGATGAAGAAAGACTGGTAGGAAATAAAGTGTCAAGGATGACTTCCATGTTTCTAGCTTGAACAGTAGGGTAGATGGAAGCACTGTTTTCTGAGGTGGGGAGCCCTGGAGGTGGGGAGCATGTTGTGGGCATAGAGCATTTTAAGTGGGTATGTATTCAACCCCTAAACAGTGCTTAGTGTATAGTAAACACTCAGTGAATTTTTGCTGTGTAAATGGATGTCGACTTTAAGATATCTGTAAGACATGTGAGAGGAGATGGGTAATTGAGATGTGTAGTAGGAATTGGGTAGCTGGACTAGAGCTATAAATCTGGGAATAGAGATGGATAAAATGTACTTGGTTGAAAACCTAGGGACAGAATATATCAGCAGATCCTGCTGGGGTGTTTTGCAGTGTCTGAACTGTGATGTATGACATATGCACCATATTTCTGAATTCTGAATCACATATGTCTGCAAAAGCTTTGTCTAAGGAATCAGACCAATGGCTTTAATTAGCTTGTTTCTAAGTCTCATTCTATTTTGCATTTTCTGTGTTTGGCACTCAGTCACCCACTGTTGTAATGTGTACTGTCTTCTCAATTTCCTTTGACACTGCCTGTACTGACTTTTCTTTTTCCTCTGTAAACTAACACAAGTTCCTGATGTTTTTAATTTTTATAAGAGGAGAGAGGATATTTAGATGGTATTTCAGATGAAGCAATTTTTATGGGATTATGACCCTATTTTTTTAAAAACTTGTACCTCTGACAGGTTCAAAGTGATGCCACAATTAATATCTGAAGCAAACGATATTAACCAGGTTTAGATTAGATTAGATTACTGAAAACAGGAGACTTACATATATTTTGGCTAAAGCAAAAGTAATCTGCTTTTCACTTGGAAGGTTGGTAAATTTTGTGTTTAGAAATGACAGATTGTTTCTTTTTCTGAAAGGCAGTTACAGTCTGTGACATTAACTTAATACTTTAGACCTGCACTGTTCAGCATGATAGCCACAAGCACACATTTAAATTAAAATGGAAAATTCAGTTCCTTAGTTACACTAGCCACATTTCAAGTGCTCACTAGCCACATGTGGCTAGTGGCTACATTGGACAGTGCAGATAGAGAACATTTCTGTCACTGCAGAAAATGATATTGCATAGTGCTGCTTTAGAGACATATAGTTGTATAAAATTAGTAATGTTACTCTTTTACAGTAAGTATTCAGGGAGATAATGCTACTTGCTTATATGCCGCTATTTAGGTTGGAATCTTGGTGTTGGAATTTGACACTATTGATGTAGAAGATTAGGGCAGGTAAGTAAGGTTTGCCATGTGAGTAAATTGCTAGGGTTGGCAATAAATAGCAGGTGGATAATTAATTTGAAAAGTGTGTATTTTAATCTCTTTTTTAGCTCTCTTCTATTTAGCTTATACCCATAAATATTTTTCTGTGATTTGACTTTTTAACTTTTTTTCTTGTTATCTGAATATGCTCCCTTTTTTTTTTTTTTTTTTTTTTTTCTATTTAGGCCTTTACAGTAATTAAAAATGTGTAATGGGTCAGACCTTAAAAGTATTTCACCCAGATACTCTAGATGGGACTTACAGCATTTTTATGTGTTGTCCAAAGTTATTGTTTATGTGCAATAGAATCTTTTTATTTCTTTCAATCTAGTTTTACATGGTATATATGTATCTTACATTATGTTTTAACATATTTCTTTGACCAGGCAGAGTTTAAGTCTTTAAAATGAAAGATTTGAACTTATCTGAGTACTGAACAGTTTTTAAATTCTTGTCTCTCTGCTTTATGGTTTTGTTTTTTTTTTTTGCTTTCTGCTCTTTATGAGATATTCATAATGTAGTTATTGCACTTGCTTTGATTGACCCATGTATAAATTCAAATATTTAAATATATATGCACTTAATTTTTGTAGTCCCCTTTAATGTTTTTATGATGTGTTTTATTATTCTGACTCATATCTAGATAATTTATTTTTAAAATGCAATCTAGGCTGGGCACAGTGGCTCATGCCTATAATCCCAGCTCTTTGGGAGGCTGAGATGGGTAGATCACTTCAAGCAAGGAGTTTCAGTCTATCCTGGCCAACATGGGGAAATCCCATCTCTACTAAAAATACAAAAAATTAGCCAGATGTGATGGCTCATGCCTGTAATCCCGGCTACTCAGGAGGCTGAGGCAGAAGAATCACTTGAACCTGGGGGGTGGAGGTTGCAGTGAGCCAAGATTGTACCACTGTACTCCACCTGGGTGACGAGTGAGACCTCGTCTCAATCAATCAATAAAAATAAAATAAAATATAATCTATTCTAAAATTCAGTGCTTTTTCCTAGTCTGTATTTTCATATAAGCTTTGAAATTTTTGAGGAAAAAGTTGAACAGTTTACGTAATAGAGGCAAAGAAAAGAGTGTTTAGGGACAGAATATCCTATATGTCTTAGTTTGAACTGCGGTAATGATATACCTTAAACTGCGTATCTGATAAACAACAGAAGTTTATTTTTCCCAGTTCTGGAGTCTGGGCTGTCCAAGATCAGGGTGCTGACAGATTTAGCATCTGGCAGGGACCTGCTTCCTGGTTCATAGTCAACTATCTTCGTTCTAACCTCACATGGTGGAAGGGGCAGGAGAGCTTTGGATGTCTTCTAGAAGGGCACTAATCCCACACATGAGGGTTCTGTCCCCGTGACCTAATCACCTCCAAAAGGACTTGCCTCCAAATATCCTTATATTGGGGATTAGGTTTCAACCTATGAGTTTTGGGGCAAACACTGTATAGCACTATATATTATGATATTAATTCACCTTAATTGACATAGCAGGAATTGAAGTTTCACCATATTCACCCGGCACTTCTGAGAGCAGATTTGGCAAACTGTCTTTGTGTAAAGACCCAGATAGTGAACTTCCAGCTTGCAGGACAGATAGCCTCTGTTGCTATTCCACTCTTCTGTTGTCATGCAAAGGAATCCATAGACAACATGTGAATAGGGAGCACGGCCGGCTGTGCTTCAGGAAAACTTTATTTACAAAAACAGATGGTGTACTGGATTTGGCTTACCTGTATTCTAAGCAGACTCCTGTTACAGGGATTTTTAAAAAGGGCAGGAGGCAGAGAGACACCTTTCCTACTAGCTTCAAAAATATAAGTTTGCTAAGTGGTAATTTTAAACTTGTTATATCACAACTAATGAAATATATGAACTTTTCAAAATAAATGACTTACTGTAGAATATTATTCTGAAGCAGGTGATTTTTAAAATGCTGATTGAAATGTTTGCCTTTCTCTTGGTATAGCTTTTGTGTGAAAGGGAAGTGAAATAATGTAAGGCTTGATGTTTAACACTTGAAGTGAAAAATATTATTCAAAACAACATAAAAGGAATAGTTAAATCACAGGATGTGAAATCAATATACAAAAATCAGTATTATTTCTATACATCAGAAATGAATAGTCCAAAGTAAAATTTTAAAAATCCATTCACAGTAGCACCAAAATGAGCAATATGTTTAGGAATTAACAGAATGAAGTGCAAGATCACTACACTGGCAAGAAAAAGCATTGCTGTGAGAAATTAAAGAAGACTTAACTAAATGGAGAGGGACACCATGTTATGTATTGGGGGACTCAATACTTGTTAAGATGGCAATGCTTTCACTTTCGTATTTGAGCAACGGGTTCAATGCATTCCCTGTTAGAATTGCAGCTGGGTGTTTTGTGGAAATGGACAAGCCGATCCTAAAATTTAAATGGAAGGTAGCCCCAAAAGAATAAGAAAGTCAAAGGGCTTATCCTGCCTTATTACAAAACTTACCACAAAACGACAGTAATTAAGACAGTGTAGAGATCGACATGTAAATCAGTTGAACAAAATGTGGTCAAATGATTGTTGACAAATGTGTGAGGGCAAGGCACTGTGGGAAGGGATTACTTTTCAACAAATGGTGCCATAAATTAGATGTACACACTCGGCCAGGCCTGGTGGCTCTCGCCTGCAATCCCAGCACTTTGGCAGACTGAGATGGGAGGACTGCTGGAGCCCAGGAATTTAAGAGCAGCCTAGACAACATAGTGAGACCCCATCTCTAGAAAAAAAAAAGTTACACACATGCAAGCAAACAAGTAAATAATAAATCTTGGGCCCTACCTCAGAATGTACACAGAAATTAACTCAAAATAGACCAGAGACCTACATGTGAGAAAAATCTATACAACCTTTAGGAAAAAATAGAACAAAATATATTTGACATTGGATTAGGCAAAGATATGACATTGAAAGCACAAAATAAAAAGAAAATTAGTAGTTTGGACTTAATGAAAAACCACAGACTAAAATAAAATACTTGCAAAATATATATCTGATAAAGAATTGCATCCAGAATATTTAAAGAACTCTTACAACTCCATGTTAAGAAAATAGTCCAATTAAGAAAGGGGCAAAAGATTTGAATAGACATTTCATCAAAAAAGATATATAGATGCAAAGTGAACATATGAAAAGATACTCTGCGTCATTAGTGATTAGCAAAATGCAAATAGAAATGACAAAGATACCAGTTTACA